TTCTGTTACGAACGAGGCGAGTACTCATAATGACATGCAGAATGTGCGACTGTACAGCTGTTTTATTTTTATTCGGAATCATCATCAGTACGTATCTCACGAAACTCCGACAGTGAGATTTGAACCAGCAACCTCTTGGCCAGTAGTTTCAAAACCTGACCCTTCGACCACGAGCGGCTAAACAATATTGTAATTGGCTCGCAATTAGACAGAATATAACGTCACTCATCCTTCAACCGCCGAAACCACATCATATGGTCTGGCACTGACTGGATTTCCAAGCAAGGACTTGGAAACTCCTTGCTGATCGCTGACGGTTGCCAAAAAGAATGAAACGGTTGTGCAGTGATTCTCTGCTTTTCAGCATAGACTGGATTATCCAGTTATTTTCAGATATTCGTGTTCACCCGCTGACTACATGTTTAGTGAGGCTATATTCCAAGTAGGATGATATTTTTAAAACTCCGACGATTTTGGCGTTAGAAAATCCCCAGCTTTTTTCTGTCTTTGTATTCGTTACGTCCTTCCATATAGCATGTCACTGCTTGAAGTGTTTTGTGCTAATTCATTGGTAGCTGTGAATTCGGATGTATGTTCATACATCCTTTGATCCAGCGTTATTTGGGCTGCTCTTGAGACATGGTATTCCGAACAGGAATCGGAGACTTACACTCAGTTGGCTACAGTTTCGTTTCTAAAAATGTTCTCGCCCTTTTTGCAATTCCAGGCTTATTCCTCAACTGCCAGGATGAGATATTGGCTGAAAGATCCATATTTCAATCCAGACTGCATTTTCAACTGCCTCCATCTAGGCTTGTGCAATAACGGTATTTTTACGGTATTTTCTCGGTCTGCACCTAGACAGCTGGCAAAACAAACACCAAAGGAGCGCAACGTATAGTAACACCCAAAATCAGGAATAATACATGTACAGCACGTCGCAGTTCAAGTCTATGCCACGACAGCGTTCTGGAAATTCTGACGCCTTCTGGATGCAGAATTTGCAACCGGAATTCGGCCAGTACTGGTTCATGATTGGCTGTTTGGTCCAGGCTTTCAACCAATCAGAAATTAGCTTGATGCTGGCTGGCAAGCGGCCCGAACTTTGGTCCAGTCGTATGCTGGATTGGCTTCTCCGCCGTAGCAGAGCCCATCTGCGAGCAGCAAAGTGATATCTGTGTGGAATTCCGTCTATCAGCTTGCAGAGCTGATCAGCAAATCAGCTGTTTGTCACGTCTAGGTCGCTTCTCATTTATGAATTCAACCCTTGTTATACCTCTAACTAATTCTAGCAACGTCGGGGATAGTTCGATGTGTGCGACCAGCCCGGCAATAAAGTGATTGAACGGTGTAGTGGTTTGCTGAATATATGAATTATTTTGAACACACCAATTATTTTGTTGTTATGTGTTATTGTTTTTTGTAACAGCTGTTTTGCAGACCATTGGTGTCTTGAAGTTGCGCTCTTGAGGTAATTGTTTTAGTTTAGTTCCCTAAAATAGGTATGGACGTCTTGACACTAGCCAGGTTACTATATTACGTGATACGCTAATAGGAATATTCTCAAATAAGATCAGATAGCGAGATCTTCGCCACCAGTAACTTATCCTACATGTCTTGGTTAGTGACGACCACAACCAATTATTTTCCGCCCAATGATCAAATTTCACATTTGTAATCCTGTTTCCCTGTATACAAGAGCTCTTGACAAATTAAGGCCAGTGTAATCCTGTTTCTCTGTATACAAGAGCTCTGGACAAATTAAGGCCAGTTACAATTCGTTTTTTAAAAAGGCAGCGCAGCTTAAAAGTACATTTAACAATCGTATGTTGAAAACTCAGATTTGTGAGTAGCCCAACTAGTATCAATGTGATATTTCGCTTCTGTGTTGTTCTACTTCACTTGTTGTGAGCTGGTTGTGTGGAGAGTTGCAGAATACCTTGTATGTTTACAGATCGCATACTGATAACAGGGAAATGCTAAACGTGAGAGTTTTATCAGCGTAAGCTTATTTGAATGTAGAGTTTTACCTAGATTAAGCAACCTTTTGTTAAGTCCCTCTGGAGTGCCTCTCTAAAGGCGATCCAACTTTAATGATGGAATAAAAGTTTTGAACTCATTTACTGTTTTTCTTTTAGATATTTGCTGGCTTTAAATTCAGTAAGATAAATCAATTCCCCTCCAACAGAGTTTTTGTCCTATCAGTGAGACCAGTCTACGGTGAAGAGCCCTAAGACTAAATATCGTCAATCGAGCAAAAAGTCAACATGCGGCTGCGTGATGTGGTTTCCGTGATTGATGAATGAACCAATCACACTACGGACCAACCGCTGAAGGCCGAACTAGGAGAAAAGTTGCGGATTGGGTACTTTCTGTAGATCCACTACAATATCGATTTCATGTGTGGATGAAGCAGTTATACAGTGGCTCTCGGCGTTTCAGCATAAAATGACTTGAAGTGCAAGGTCAATCCTAATTGAAAACTGCCAGACTCCCTCACATTACCAACAAATGGATCTTTGCCTTCACAGAAACTGGTCCGAATGTCCAAGTGAACGGCAAGATTCAACCTTCATTAATGTTGTTGGCGAAGTCATTCTGTAGATGGCATTTGATTGTATTTGATCGTATCTAAAGGATATAATATCCATGAAATCCCCGACATACTGTGACACTCAAATAAAAAAGTTCTCAAAATTCAGCTGGAACCGAGGGATTCCAAAATCGATAGAGAAGAGCCTAAATCATTTTTATGAAGAAATCACGTTGTGAAATGATTAAACAAGCAACATTTTGTTAATTCTGTTCTATGACGAACATGGATGGTCCAAACTGATCATAGGTCTCGGAAAAACTGTGAGATGTGTCACTTAATATCCCAATCTACACAGCAATCTGGGCTGTTCGCAAAACCTTACTGACGTTGTACAAGGGTGTCCCAGTGAAACTGTTGGTGACACTGATAATGCCGATGTAGAGGAAATTCCGTGATTCCCATCAAAACTCTACGGAAGGTTAGGTGTGAAATCAAGATATATATAGAACATTACGAAGTAATTTACATTTCACGCCCCAGGTTGGATGGTCCCTGGAACATCTGAGGCATTTTTTGCCCGCTGTATACTTTCTAACGTGTATGCATGTGTACTCGCATCTGTCTGCCTGTCAAGTACCAGTCACCAGTGGAAAACTTCCCATGATATGCACTGGTACCTGTCGTGTTTCTTTGTTGCTTACACTTCCGGACCCTTCGAACTCTTGGCGTTTCTAGGCCGTTTCCGATATGCACGATTGCCAGTTGCGAAGCGCTGCAACAATGAAGGAAATTGGTTGTTGATTAGGCGGGTGTCGGTCTGTTCGCCGAGCTTGGCAATTGACTTATACAAGTTTCATCGCCATACGAGGGCACATCATCAGTGCGCAGTTGGGTGGGCACATCCAGTTTGCCTGCGTGCGTTTATACAGCATTTCAAGACCGTTTGTTATCTCTTAACCTGATTGGTTAGTTGGGTGATGGTGCTTTTCGTGATTTTATTGCCCGTTCTTGTTTTTCGTTGAGTTGTAGTTTGCGTTCAATCAGGTCGATTAGTCATCCTTCCTCCCACGTTTCGATTGGCTCCCTTCTCAATTTGCACTGCGCTGTGGTCTGGTTTTTCTTTTACGGGGGTGATTGGCGGGTTGCACCGCCATATTTTCTCCATTTTTTGACTAGCGGTTTTGCGTCCGCCGGTTAATTTGGTATTTTGGTTTATTGCCTGGGCGCCTCCTCCAATCCAAGTGATGCATCCGTCTGGATCGGACTCCCTGTTTCTTTTACGGGTTCCACGTCTGGTTGAATCTTCATTTCAGGGATACGTGGATTTTGCGTTCTGTCGCTCTTAGCCGTTGACAAATGGGGTCAATTTCAATATGCTTGTTGATAGCTTCTTCGGTAGAGTATCACGTTTCCGTTCGCGAACTTACTTTCGCCGTCCTCACTTGAGTCAGTATGCGAACGCCGCTCCAGTGGAACCTGTATGCTTCCTGATCGTTGTGCACGGATATGAGAATGATTGCAAGTTGCGAAGCGCTGCAACAATGAAGGAAGTTGGTTGTTGATTCGGTGGGTGTCGGTCTGTTCGTTGAGCTTGGTGATTGACTTACACAAGTTCCATCGCCATACGCGGGCACATCATCAGTGCGCAGTTGGGTGGGCACATCCAGTTTGCCTGCGTGCGTTTATACAGCATTTCAAGACCGTTTGTTATCTCTTAACCTGATTGGTTAGTTGGGTGATGGTGCTTTTCGTGATTTTATTGCCCGTTCTTGTTTTTCGTTGAGTTGTAGTTTGCGTTCAATCAGGTCGATTAGTCATCCTTCCTCCCACGTTTCGATTGGCTCCCTTCTCAATTTGCACTGCGCTGTGGTCTGGTTTTTCTTTTACGGGGGTGATTGGCGGGTTGCACCGCCATATTTTCTCCATTTTTTGACTAGCGGTTTTGCGTCCGCCGGTTAATTTGGTATTTTGGTTTATTGCCTGGGCGCCTCCTCCAATCCAAGTGATGCATCCGTCTGGATCGGACTCCCTGTTTCTTTTACGGGTTCCACGTCTGGTTGAATCTTCATTTCAGGGATACGTGGATTTTGCGTTCTGTCGCTCTTAGCCGTTGACAAATGGGGTCAATTTCAATATGCTTGTTGATAGCTTCTTCGGTAGAGTATCACGTTTCCGTAAATTCGCGAACTTTCGCCGTCCTCACTTGAGTCAGTATGCGAACGCCGCTCCAGTGGAACCTGTATGCTTCCTGATCGTTGTGCACGGATATGAGAAAAAATTGATCGTGACCTTTTGTAGCAAGCGTGTGTTCATACATTCTGGTGGAAAGCTTCCATCCTGTTTGTCATATATATCGTTTGTCACAGTCCTTGCATGAGATTCTGTGTATGGCATTATTCTTACTCATTAGATCTAGGTTTCCTTTTGGGTTCGATAGTGTCCTCAGCGAAGTATTCGCAGGTTTGTTCGTGATGTGCTGCCGTAAGAACCTCGTGGTCACTTCGGTAGTGTTCCTGATGTACGGGAATGTGAAAAGTTTGTGATAATCGCACCTCAGAAATAACGTTATCGCGGTTGCTAATAGTATCCTTGACTGCTATTCCACATCGCCAACTCTATGGTAAAAAAGAAACGTCAGATGAGCATATGAAGAGACATTATAAAGTTCGAATTCAAACCCGGTCTCTGTGGGAGAATTCATTGTTAATGAAACTATTAATAAACATCCAAATGCTCTTTATCGGGATATCAGCTCATGTCACGTGTGAAGGTGTGGTCCCAAATATTTGATATTTGAAAGAAAATGCATTGGACTGGAAGGTCACTTGCAAAGTCGCTCACATTGTAGGTTCAAAATGTTCTTTTCTAGCGAAAGGAAGAAGGTCTTCACTGCGGAGTTATTTATTAGAAAATGCCAACTGACCAGTTATAGACTATTGGACTGGGAAGCAAAACTCTCACTTGCATCTTAGTTACTAAAACTGGACATCCATCTTCTCTTGAACGCGTCTTCCTGAACTTTCCTGGATATTCATTGACTGTTGCTCAAATCCAACCAAATGCTACAATGCAACTTTACAAATCGGCAACAGATCTCCCCTTTCAAGAGACGCATAGCGAATTTTGAAGAAACCATACTACTCGCACGCATCCCCGTCAGTAGTATCACCGTTACACTAATAGTGACATTAGGCCGGTGTTTATGAAAATTTGAACGGTTCACTGAAACATAAGTTTTATCAAGTTTGATGCAAGGCGTGGCTTAGCTTATTATCATAGTTGACTGTGTAAGATTAACTGTAAAGCGCATTACTCGTGATATCTTTTGACTTCAGAATATGACACTTGCCCTATTCTTTCACAGAACCACAAATTTAGTGGGCGTCCATCAGAATACAAAATTTTGGACTACCAGTATACGGAGTGCCATGACTAGAAAGGATCTAACGTTTTCCTAGTAAGATTGTATCTAGATGCATTCCATAAGTTTTGCCTATATCATAACGAATGAAGTGCTTTGACTGTCTGACCGACTACACGTGGTTGTACAAGGAAACAATCTTAATTACGGTGGAACAAATTAAGATGTTGGGTTTAGCAGACACATTAATCTCTAATCTACCTCTGGTTCATAATATTTCACAGCCTACTGTTGTGCATAATTCATTTTCTTCCCCGTTGGTAAGATACTACTTAAGGTGTGATAATTTAGCAACCTCTTTAAGTCACATCAGATAGGCGTATTCTGCCAAAAGCATTCAAGAAGCTAGCAACACATTGAGAGTATTTTGAGCCAACTTGACAGACTACTAAAAAATGTTATTACTGTTTTCAGGAAAAAATACATTGATATTTTGAACACTGGCATGTTTAATCCCTATGGATGAACATACGCTGCACAATCGGCTACAAAAAAATTATCGACACGTATCGATGCATGAAGCTGGTCTACTACCTACTATTTGTCCTACCCTTATCCTTGGGGGATTCACAAAGCCAGACAACGAAGATTATACTCTCACGTAATATCCAAGAGCTGCAGGCAGCACAAAGACAAGGAATAACGAGCTTGGTATATTGGCTTTTGAGTCCTGTCTTTAGGTTTGTTACCCTGGTCACAGAAACGCGGTGATCTGAGGAGTGCCTGAATGTTTTGGTCTCTGTGTTTCTTGAGTTCACCCCTGGTAATCACGTGTTCCTCTGACACCATTCTAATTTGTCAGGAATACTGCGAACTGACGACGGAAATAATTTCGGTTTGTGAAGGTGAGTGGGGTAAAATGAACTGAATATGAATTTTCCTTTTTTAATAATGAGTATAATGAAGAAAGTGGGATACAGTCTAGATGGACCATCTCACCAATAAAGTAATCAACCTGCTATGAAGAGCATAAAATGCGGGCATTTGTGGGTTGGCGAGTTCTATGTACAAGGCCTTCAAATTCTCAGATCGGATCCCTTTTGAAGCAAGTC